TATCAGGTAATTTAAAAATACCAAACACATTAAAAAAAAAGAATTGTTATTAACACTCCAAAATCTTATTATACAATCCTCACAAGTGTATTTTTCTTTCTGATTATTGAAAATTTGGAGTGTAAAATGAGATTTTTGGAAGTATCAATAACAATTCTCTAAAAAATTATAATTACTAATTTGCATTTGCAAAAAATGTGAAAAAATATGTCAAGGCTCGTGATCACATCATCTACGCTTTGAGGATGGATACGTCATCGTTTGAATTTTTAAAACCATACAAACCCTCATGAATTGTATTTTAAGGGAGTTCAACATAAATAAAATTAATAACCATTAATGTTCAAGTCTGAAAAATGTGAAAATATGATATACATATACTAATTTAGTATTATGTTTTCCACTTTTTTTTTTATCAAATTATGTTTTTCATTTTCATTATGTATTGATTTAAAATATATTTCCTTTAATAGGTAAAAGGTCGGATCATATTATCTGATAATATTAATGGACCGATTTCTGGTTGGTTCATATTACCGTTTATTTTAACGGATGTTACACAACACAAGCCATGAAGGTATCAAGTATGTCAAGACAACAACAAAAACATAAAAAACACGATACGTATGTCAGGTCTAAGTCAATAAATGGAGGACGAAATTGATGACTTTAAAACATGAAAGCCCAAACTCATGACTTAACAATACATTGAGGAACATTTGTGAAAAAATAATATTTAAAATTAGGTCAATACCCTAAGGGCCACTTGCGAAGGGTTGGTGTGGTTTGGTGGCTGGCTATTGGGCTAGATCGCCTGTTGTTTGGTTGTTGAATGTTTTTATTTTATTCTTTTAATTAACAAATAAAAAAGTTGAAAAATGTCATGGGGGAGACGAATTTGGAAGCACACGCGTGGCACCCTTTCTCGGTCAAGTAAATTAAATTAAAATTTTTGTATACTCACAAAACTCAATAGAGGTATTCATCAAATTCCTTCCTGAACTTGTGATCATTAGTCAATTTCCTCCCTCAACTTTAATTTTGGCCAATTTTCCCCCTCAACTTTAATTTAGCCAATTTCCCCCAACTCTTATAATTAGTCAATTTATACCCTACTGTTAATTTTTTAATTTGATCATAATTCAACAAGTGTGTGTAAGAAACTAAATAAGATATATGTTAATCATGTTCCTATATCTTTATCCTATTACAAATAGATTAAAATTTAGAATTTTATAATTTATCATAGATAGTATTATTAGTCATAATAAATTAGTATAGAGTAATTTTATTTGATTTTTTACTGTACAAAATTGATAACGAAAAGGATTGATGTGTAAATTTTTGTATGTGAATACAATTTTCTTTATAAAAGTGAACTAAGTTCAAGTAAATTGCAGAGAATCGAGCTTTAGTGAAAAAATGGCTAGTCTATTCATAATTTTCGACTCCTTATTAAGAATAACTCATTTTATTGAAATAGTTCTGATCCATGAGTTTAGTATTATTATTTCTTTTTGTTATTATTTCTTCTTCTACATGCTTTAAACCCGATTCATAACTTTTTCTTATAATCAACCCATATCACATACTAATTGTATTATGTTTTTGTACATTTTACCCTATATTATGCAAGTGAGTTTATGTTAATTTTAGTACTTTGTTGGAAGTTATTAGAAGGATTGAAAATTAAGAAAAGAATAGATGGAAAATTAAAAATAAAAAAAATTAACAGTAGGGTGCAAATTGACTAATTTTGAGAGTTGAGGGGGGAAATTGGCCAAATTAAAGTTGATGGGGGAAATTGACTAATTATGAGAGTTGAAGGGGGAAATTGGCCAATGGTCACAAGTTCAGGAGGGAATTGATGAATACCTCAAACTCAGTATTATATAGAGATTTATTGCCTTTCAACTTTAAATATTAAAAGAAGTTTCCGTTTTTTGGGTCAAATAAATATTAAAGGAAGTTTATGCATATTCAAAGAAAAAACAAAGCGTCCACATGTGAATTATTGTCAATCAACAGTTTTTAAAACGACGTACCAAAAAAATAGGAGTTTTAAGGAAGACCATGTTTAGAAAAATCCCTACTTGATCTGGCCAAGTCAAGTAGCTAAATTACTTTAAAGCATATTGGTCTTACTTAATGAATTAGTTTTGGCCGTTGTCTAATTGAATTATCTGATTTGAAATATAAGTAATGTTAAGTAGACCTTTTAGATTACTAAATTACTTTAAGACCATGATGCTTTAAAGTTGCAATGTACTGGTGCATATACTTACCATCAATTCGGAAATAGCGTCCGGCATGTCTGCGATCCTGGCCCTCACTTCTGCAGAAGTAGCTCTAAGGAATGAGATGAATGTGATTATGCTACCAACAAGTAAATCGAAACAAAGTAACGGTGTTAATTAGAATTTGAAAGATGGAATTTGAAAGTGCTTACACGTTAATAAAACTATTTGAAATTAAAGTTGGGGTTCCACCATAAAAACCAATTTGCAATATAGATCTCTTATAAACCCTTGCATGGTTTTTATTTTCACAAATTTAGAACTCTTTTATCTTCACATCCTCACAAACTAAACTACACGTACTTGACATTCTTTCGAACTAACTTGCTTTCAATGTAATTGTGTTAAGGGTGAAGACCAGGTATCTGAGATATCCGAAATATTAAATCCATAGAACCAAGCAAAGAAATGAAATCTTAGACAATGTGCAACGCTACCTGCATGCTGAGAAATGGAAAACATTGTCCCGGAAAAGCAAAACACAGCAGAAATAAAGATGGAACAGATTGATAGTACAGAGCCTTTTTTGGACTGTTTACTAATTAATTATGAATTTCTACTCAAGAGAGAGAGAAAAGTGTGAAAGAATTATTTATTGACGACCTCCGTTGCGTAGCTGGCCAATGTCTCCGGTCAAAAAGAGAGGGAGAAGAACTCTCGACTCAGATGTTTCGGACTATATAAACAAGAGTTTCCTTCAACCAGAAAGGGAATATTGAAGCAAGTTTTTGTTGCATACTTGGGAGTCTGGATTGATCTCCGTGCTCCATCTCTTTGTTTCTCTTTTCTTTACTGTTGGGGCTTCCCTCATCAGAAATGGAAACCGAGCCACTCCCCTTTCCCTCGCCAGAAATTTTAACCGAGCCACTCCCCTCCTCATCGTCAGAAATGGAAACCGAGCCACTTCCCTCCCCCTCGTCAGGAATGGAAACTGAGCCACTCCCCTTCCCCTCGTCAGAAATGGAAACCCAGCCACTCCCCTCCCCCACGTTAGAAATGGAAACTGAGCCACTCCCCTCCCCCTCGTCAGAAATGAAAACCGAACTAGTTACCTTTCCCTCGTCAGAAATTAAAACCGAGCCACTCCTATCCCCCTCGTCAGAAATGGAAACCAAGCCACTCCCCTTCCCCTCGTCAGAAATTTTAACCGAGCCACTCCGCTCCCCTTCGTCAGAAATGGAAACCCAGCCGCTCCCCTTCCTCTCGTTAGAAATTAAAACCGAGCCGCTCCCCTCCCCTTCGTCAGAAATGGAAACCAAGCCACTCCCCTCCCCCTCGTCAGGAAAGAAACCATCTAGGTTGACGTTCTGTGGTAAGCAGACCTACGTACCCTTTCATGTACTCACTACTTCTAGTGAAATGATTTGGGGACACTTTCTTTTCTCCGTCTGCACATTCCCGTTTATTTATATTCCTTAATTCTCTTTTTATTTATTCAATCCAAGAACCAAAAGTAAATAGAGATCTGCAATGAAAGAAAACAGTGCAGAAATCAAAACCCCTTCTTACAAGTTATTAGCCTTATAAAAATCTGTTCATTATTTTTCTTCCTAATATTCCTGATTCGCTTTTGAATTGCAGTTGTGTTTTGGCCGTATGTACTCACTCTATATACCATGTCGATAATGACAACGTACTTAACTGGTGTATGGAATCTCAGTATCACGCAAGCCGCCGCAGTTGTCAACTTGTATTCGGGCATTGCGGCTATAATGCCAGCGATCACGACACGTATAGCAGATTGTTCTAGGGATAGCTATTTCATGTTGTGGCTCTCTAGATTTGCCTTCGTCTGTGTAAGTATTTTCCGATAACAAAATCAAGTTTGATTGTTACTTGTGTAGATATATGTGAACGACCCAAATGAAATTTAATAACTACAAACATGACCCATAATGCGTTCTTATGTGTGAAGTATACCCAAATCATATTGCATACATAAATAACTAACGTATACTTGTTCTTGGTAACTATCCTCACACGTAAGAATTTTGAGGTTGGCTTCCACTTGGGAAGATCCTAAATTGTTTTTTTTTTTTTTTACATGATTTTCTCAACACACTAGGTGTTCTTACACCGTATGGGACAAGCCTTCAGCTTGCACACTTCTCTCTTTGTTCTCACTTTCTGTCCTATCATTTGTAGAGAGGAGTGGTTGGTTGATGATTTCTTTTTCCTTTTTTTTTTATTTTTGGTAATGGTTTATCTTTCATTTTTTTTGGTGAAGAATGGTTGATCTTTCTTCATCAACATTCTCACACATTTGCCTGATGACATTCTTTTCTTTGCACACTTCACAGCTTTCTCATAAAAGCCTTAACAACTTTACAATAGTATAATGGAACACTCCTATTTATTGTGAATTTGTTGAACTTCCATGAACTTCTTAATGGTCTGCGAAACTTGTTATTTGGTCTCCATGAACACTCCCATTGCCAAGCTCTTTGATTCTTCATGACTTCAAGATGCTACCAGAGGATGAACATACTTGTCATCTCTTCTTCATACTCTTTCTTTGCCCTTGTTCTTTTAGCGATCGGTTAGAACTTAGAGGGCACTTTGGCCTTATCTTGTATCTTTTCTTCTTGACTTGAGAAAGAATTTCTTCTCCTCTTCAATGTCCTTGATCTTCTCTTTTGGATTTGACAAATTCTTTGGATTCTCTGGACTGGCCCTATTTTTCAAGTTTGATGTGCTATAACAGGAGTGTTACTTTGCTCTCGTTGCTGTCTTTTTTAAGGTGTTGCATAGGATGAATCCTCATGGAGCTAGTAGAAGAATATTAACACTAATTATTTGGAACCAACAAATGCAGGGGTTTGGTCTTTTGACAATTTCAACACCACCAGTCCTTGCTGTAGTAACAGGCAGCTGCAGCTCATTTGTGCCCCACTGCATTGGCCCAGTCCATAAAACTCTCTTTTACACAGCATTGCTTCTATTAGCTATTGGAGAATCGACTCACTTGTCCTCCTGGCCTCAGTTCGGCAAGGACCAGTTCGAAACAGAAAAGGTTTACCAGTTCGCAACAGAAAAGGATTACAAACGTTCATGTCAGCTTTTCTCATTGGCGACACTAATGTTGGTCGTCCCTGTTTGTGCCGTTATAGCAGTTGGTTTATCAAATTCTTGGTCGATTAAGTTTGGGATAGGAGCAATATCTGCAGTGGTATCTACACTTATCTTCTTAAGTGGTTTATATTCATATAAACGCCCCAGTGGAGACTCTAGCCATCTTACCTGGAGTTTATTCTATCATACTCGGCAGCGGTATTTCAGCAGTTATGTTTTTCATAGTCTCATGTATGGCTGTTGTCCCATCAGGTGTTATTGCTTCCATTGGAAATACTTTCTTCATGGAACAAGCAACCGACATGAACCATTACATTGGGAGGCTCAGAGTTCCTACTATTATCCTTCCTGCGTCACAGCTGTTGGTGAAATTATTTGTAAAGCTACGAAAACAAGATTCTAAAGTTTTCTTTGCCTTCCATGGGATTATAGTGTCATGCGTGATTTCAGTTGTATGTTGTATAACAGCTGCAAAAGTGGAGACCCGAAGGTTAGACGCGGTGAAGAGCCACGGTTTCATTGACAAACCTGAGGAAACAATTCCGATGACCATGTTCTGGCTGCTTCCACAGTTTCTTCTTCTCGGTTTAGCTCAAGAGATTGGCAAACAAAGCATTGCGAATCTATATTATGCTCCGCTGTGGTGGTCTTTTAGGAGCCGATCATTCTGTGAATACATGCAAACCTTGGCTGACGCTGTCAGTGGAGTCGGATATATAGGCGGGATGTTGTCAGTTTATGCAGTTCGTAAGATGAAACCCAGTTGGTTCCAGTACACGCTTAACCGGAGTCGTTTGGATAATTACTACTGGACCTTGGCCGCATTGTCTGCAGCTAATCTGGCATCGTTCTTTTTAGTCCTTCTTTCGATTCTTCTGAGGCGGCGTTTTTGATTTTCCTGAAGTTTGACATGCTTATAAGTCCCACCTCTCTTCTTAGAATGAATTTCCGTGTTCTTAGTATAACATAAAAGCTAAATAAGACATTTCTCTTCAATCCCCTGCACCTCGAATTCAGACTCTCTATTTCTTGTCAGCGGCCCGTAACATTTTTCGGGACCAGGATTGAACCAAGCAAATTTCCCAACTAAGTCGCTGTCATATTTTACAAATTTGGATTGGCTCTTGTAATAATTTTGATCGTTGCTAAGCAAGCGTTTTTAATTTCCATTTTCCGAAACATAGTGAGGCACACATGGTCTCTCACAAGTCACAAAACGCCCTACCTAAAGCTTCATCATTCCTGTTCCTAATGTAGCGCAAAACATGTACTTACTCATAGAGGGATGCAGCTAATTGTTGAAAATACTGGCATCGCTGGCATCACCACTTCCGTCGATGGCACCACCGGAAAGGTGCTCTAAACAGCTAGAAGCCTAGAACACACACATGGGGATGGTCTCGAGCATCTTTTCAAAAAAATCTTGTTTCCTAACCGCATCTAGCCTCCGAGTATCCACTTGTGAAGCAACAATTCTACCTTGTACAGAAAGTACAGTCCATGCTGCCTACTGTGTGGGGTTCTTGATTTTGATTTGAAGATGTATATTTCTGATCTTGATCCCGGTTTTGACATGTTCAAGAAACAATGTTTCTGGCAAACTACATTGTAACCGGCACCTGCATTTTTAGAAGGAAAATGTTATTCTTACCATAAAAAAAACTTGCAGCGAGAAGTTTTGATCATTTATTTACTCATAATGTTTTGCTGGTATATCATAAAGTTACTTGAGACTTGAGAGGTTTCATAAAAAAACCAAAGCATTCGGGATTCATATACATTGCAGGCGCTTGTAGCCTTCACGAAAATCCCTAACCCTCGCATGGCAAAAGTTTTGGTCCTCTGGTGTGAGAAGCCAATATGGTAAAGTCTTTCAATATGTTACAACTACATGTAAATAAATTTGACGACGACCCGCAAAACAAATTAACAAAACGAATCTAGGAGCCTTATGAGTGAGGATGAAGTTTTATACGTTTATTATGTGGGTTAACAAACTTGTGCCGTGTCTAATATCAACTACGTGCCAAACAGATCCAGGTTATATAAACCGTACAATGGAGCCTTATCAGTGACAAGTTATTTCTAGGATTGTACTCTGGGACATAAACTTACCCAATGAGACTGGAAAGCAACATCAATGATTACCATAATATTATCTGGATGACTTCGGAAACATTCAGATACTTCTCATAATAATTTTCAACCGCTACTCATAAAATTATAAGAGGCATTTGAGTTCCAACACAGGCAGCCAAAACTACTAAGGAATGCGATGATAAAAGTAACAATCAACCTTTAGAAAATATTCCACGGAGAATTCAGAAACAAATCACCTAAAATATGGGTTCAACTAAGAAGCAGATAACATTGTCCGAAAATGTGCTTACTTACCATCATTGCAAATAGGTTAGGGATGTACATGTCTGCAACAAGTGCTCCTCGCATCTGCAGAATTAAACTCCAAGCAATGAAATGAATGCAATGATGATAACTAATAAGCAAGCGGAAACAGAGCAAATTCATGATTTAGAGTGGCACGGTGGAAAAATCTGAAAGTGCTTACAATGGAAACTGAAGCCATCCGAGATTAAGCTAACTGAAAGCCTCCAAGCTTACAAAGAGCTATAGCTACATAGAGAAGCAAACTGCTCATAGTTGACATTCCTTCATACTAACTTCCCTTGTCATGGAATCTTATTAGGAAAAGGTTTGAGTTTGCATTGTTAGAATTGGCCATTTGGCTTATCGGTGAAGACCAGGTGATTGAGATATCCGAAATATTCTTAAAACGAAGCAAAAAAAATGAAATTTGTGACAAGTTGCAAAGATACCAACATGCCGAGAAACGAAAAACATAGAAGCAATGAAGTGTTATCACACAGATTACAAAGCCTTTCCTTTGGAGTCACAAAACCGAAATTGCACCCGAAGATTGAGAGCTTTCCCACACCTCAATGCCCTCAACATCTTCCCTTATAACAAACAGCCTATCGCCGCCACCTTCGATTTTCTTTATAATCCCTCTCTCAGAATCCTCAACCTTATCAACAAAATTCCTCCTATACCACCCCTCACAAACCCCATTTTCTATTTCCACCCTGCGTTCTGCTTCTGCCACCTTCGACCAAACCTCCAACCCACCTTCCCTCCCCACAAACACTTGCTTTCTGTAACACCTCACCACACTATTGTTATTTCCACCCGTCCCATCTCCGCCGGTGTACCTCAAGCTTGGGTTCTTGTCTTGTAAATATACCCACGGATCATCCCCTAATTTACGCAAGTCTGCCACTGCCAAGTCGCCGGACTTTGAACACAACTTGAACAGGGTCGACTCCTCAACGTCGGCATCCACGTCGGCGAACGAATCCCCGAACCGACTGCTCCGGCCTGAACCCGGTTCGTTCGCCTCCCAAACCACCCCATTCGACCTCGGGTCCCACAATCGGATGTAACCCGAGTAACCAAAGGCGCCGCACGTGACGGAGCTCCCGACGATCAGTCCTGTCTCCGGAAGCCACCTCAGCTTTCCCACGGCCAGGTTCTTTGCGGAGCTCCCCGGTTGCCGGCTCAGCTCTGATACGATTTTGAGAGTCGATTTGTCGATCACGAGGATGCAATTCTCTCTGTGGGAGCAATCGAATGACGCGAAGACAGAGCTTGGCGAGTCGGCAATGGCGGTGACTCGCGCCTTGAAGATTCTGGGATCTTCCGGGTCGGTCCAGTGGATCGACCCGAGGTTTCGCACGCCTGAGAAATCGTAGAAGTGAAGTCCTGCACTGGATTCGGATCCTATAGCGGCGATATCAGGATACACACGGCAAATCGAGGTTATGTCCTCCAAATGCGTACGTAGAGTTCCGGCGTAGCTGAGTTTCCAATCGTAGCTGGATATCTGGCCGCCATGGGCTATCCAGACGGAGCCGTCGTCCCCTGCGGTAATCGCCGAAGGACAGCCATCGTAGGCGGGTTGGACGGTGGTGACAATTGATGCGTCGATTCCAGAAAGAGGAGGCGGCGACATCGCCGACTTAAGCTGCGACTCGATGCCGTAGTAGAGGGCTTCATCGGCGAGCTCCTGCTTGGAGAATAGGCGAGCCGCGGAGGGGAGGCCTTTCGATCGGAGAAGAGAGAGGATGACGGAGAAGATCTCCGGATCCCGGTCAATGAAAACCGGGTTCGGGTCGTCGGTGGAGCGGTTTGATAGGGCGGCTAAGAGAGAGTCGGGTCCGCCGGCCTGGATCGTTTCTAAAGTCGTTTCGAAGTACTTGCCGCCGACGTTGAGCTTGATGCGGTCGTCGGGATGAGGCCTTGGGGCAGTGTGGGAATTTCCTTTCTCCATTACGAGGCCGAGTGAGGTTGAAGATGTTTCACGGTCTTCAACTTCACGGCGACTTTCTGGAAATCTGAGGGGCGGGCGATAGGGAAAACGACGGAAAATTTTACGCATCCTTTGACACTAATACCCTTGTTATTGTGTGGAATTACTCAACTTTTGGTGGGTATGATCGCCTAAAAAAATCCAACAAAAGCCCTTTTTGGTCATTCTGAAATGGAGAAAACAAACCTTTTTTTGTCTGTGCTTGGATTCTAAAACTCTTGGGCTCAGACCACGAATTATGATTGGGCTACATTGTGGATCTGAATGTTTTTGGTACAAGCCCATATTAGAGCCCACCTTCTGAGCCACACATCATTACTATTTTAAAAAGAGCGATTCTTTATACACTCAAAAAGTTTTATTCACGAACACTTTGTCAGATTTATTTATAAAAAAAAAAGGACTTTAGTAATTTTTTCAGGAAAATAATTATTTCCCTTGAACACCAATAAAACTTTGAAACAAACAGCCAGATAAACTTCACGATCATTGAATTTTTGATATCTTAAGTTGAAGCAAATAAATTGTTTCATATCTTTCGTAAAAAGGTAGCAAACGAGATCCAAATCCACAAAAAGAAAAGAAAATCATATCCACCAACGGACTCGGGGGCCTTCAATCTTCAAAACACTTCACCACAACTGTTGTACACCGGGAATTCGATAAACTTGTAACTCCACTCTCGCGAGTCTTCCATTGCTAGTTTCCAAGCACCTCCCAATAAAACGGTCACGATGAGATGAGGAGATACAGATCTCTCGAAGCTCCAAATATTGCTTTGTGAAATAAAACAACCATGCAGACACATGGAGAACAAAGATTTAAGTCATCGGGGAAAATTGCGAAATTGAACAGAAATGCTTCATAATCAATACAAGGAAAATGGGCATCCAAAGAAAAGTATTCTTGAAAGTTTAGTAAATTATTTTAGGTATTTCTTTATTTTAGGTGTCTAAAGAAATGTGTAAGAGTAAACTGGAGTGGTTAGAGACATGCATTTAGGTATACGCAAAGCCACTCTTTCCAAAAACTCCACCAACTCCAATCCTGCTATCCCATTCACTCGATGCTTATCAATACGAGCTTAAACACACTCCTCAACCGATGGCTCAGATGATTATCATGTAATCATATGGTACTAATTAGTTCATAATCAAATGCTCATATTCTTTTGAACTCTTTAATTTTCCTGACTTTACAAAAAATTGAAAAGAATGTGAACTTGCCTTTTGAAATCCCCAATCAAATACTTCAAAATCAAGAATCTATCAACTAGAGCACTAGTTGATCTGATTCCTTCCTTACTTGCCTTATTTCTAAGTTCTCCAATTCATTCTTTCTCTCATTTTTGTTAGTAAACATGTCCCAAATTCAAATATAAATAAAATTGATTTAGCCTAAGTGCAACAATCGAAATCACAATCCTTACGACATCGGCCATGATAAGTAATGATTAAGTTTTAATTATATATATAACTTGTTTCCTAAGCAATCAAAAAATAACCACGAGACCAAATTAGGGTTCGATAAGGACTTCCTTCCAGCTTAATTGACCTGACGAACGGCCTGACCTGTATATATACTCTCTTGTGAATGGAAATTGAGAACTGCTCCAACTGGGGGTAAATGAATGGTAATTAAACAATTAAGTCACCATGTAAATCTGTAAGTTCCGAAACTCACAGAAATTTCACTGTTTAGGGAACCTCTGCCAGGTGCTGCCTCTTCTGCAGTAGTGCCCGTGCTACAACAACTTCAACTGAACTGTAGTATTTTTTGGAATGTGGCTCAATTAGTTTAGCAGTAAATACTTCTTCCTCCCTGGTAGGGATTTTTACCACTTGCAAAAATAGGGATAAAAACACTTAAAAATACTTGCAAGAGTAAAAGGTTATCGTAGTATAGCGGCTCAAGCAAGGTTGTTTTCCATAGAGATTGAATGAATAATTTGTGTTTAAAACTAACCCTTAATTAATTATTGAAAATAAAGTTTGGAAAATGTTGATTTTAGAATTTAATTAAAATAAAACAATTAAAGAAATTAAGTAGAGAACAATTTAAAGAAAGTCAATTTGTAAAGCCTAGGTTCCGCCGTTCCCTTAACAATACTATGCAATTTTACCAATTACTTATGAATTTTTACATACATGCTTTGAATGTTAGGTTTTCCTAATGCATATTTTCCTCGTGATGTTCAAGCGAAAATGTATATCTAACATGTAACCCGTCTGTGATGTTTAGATTAAATATAAACATGCAAGACTCATTACGGTTTGTGAAAACCCTTTGAAAAACCATGCAACCCTTAGGAGCGTGATATTCGCCTTAAGTGAACTTACAATTACTAATCACAAGAAGCCCTCCTCAATTTCAGGTTGATGTTTCCACATAAATTGCATCAAATTACTTGTCTAAAAACCCTAACGGTCGTGAATCACTAAGACAATTAGATAGTTTAATCTCGGTGATTAATAATTCAAAGCAAGCATGCATCCATTCATAAGCAAATTAATAAAATCACATATTCATGCTAAGGCTTGTGGCTTCACCCTAACAAAAGAACTAGTTACAAACAATCATAATAAAAACTAAAGAAAATACATTAACTAGAAAAAAGAATGAAAACACCGTGTAAGTTCTCCAAAATAATGCTTGCGTTCTTCCCCCCTCCTTCCCTCCTAACCCTAACGGCTAAAAAGTCTTATTTATACTACTACAAAATAAAACCCTAAAAAGTCTTAGAATAAAACTAGGAAACATAATAAAATAATAAAACAGAAAAAAAAAAAATTTCATATTTAAACTGAAATTCGGACTTCTCAGAAATTCAGACATTTGAAAGACCAAATCAACTCCGATTTGGTCCCAAAAGGTCTCTTTTGAAAGCTTTGGTCGTCCCCTACAAATCCTCAGAAGGAATCTTCCTTAAAATATGCCATCTTGACCTTCAAAATACCCAAAATGTCTAGAAACATCAATCTGGGAAGGCTGCGCGTTGGGCCTTTATTTCATCGCCACGGTCAAACGGCTTGGTAGAAAAATCCAAAACTTTGATACAATCATTTGAAAGAATCACGAACATCCTCCAATTAGAATCATTCCAAAATTCATCCGTTTGATCATTTTTTGCTACAGATGAAGTCACATATCCTACATTAAAAATATATAACAAAGTATCAAAATTCTACCAGAATAACCAATAAACTATAACTAAGAATAGGGTAAAATATATTGTATAATATGGACTCATCACTTCCTAAATACGATGAGTTACTACTCCTCTATTATTATCTAGGTCAAATAATTGAAGTATATGAATTATGATGAGGTCCCCATGAATTTGAATGGCTTTATCACTTCGTTAGAATTATGCATATATAATGCAGCTAGCCAAAGGTCTCCCCACTACTAGTTTCTAATTACGTGAAAGATCTGTAGTTAATTAATTTTACAAAAAATATCAACAGCAAGAACTCATCAGAAGCTTCACTTGCAGATATGGATATGGAAATGCATGTGAAATTTAAGACTTGCATTAGTGATGAAATGTGGGCAAGGCCCCAGCAGCCATGGCATGCAGGCTAGATCATTGGAGGTCCTAAAACATATAAAAGCTACCTCGCTAGCAGTACCACTGCATACACCCTGTCAAACCGCGTGCTGTCTAAGCGGGTACGTGTTGAGGGAACGACTTCACATGTATACATATCATCACAATCATGTTTCGTGTTAATGTACAAAATAATTTGTAAATTTATGTTCACATGACGTTATATCATTGACATGAAAAAACACAATATTAAATTGTATCTATACCATATAAGTTATTCTCAAGCCAAATCCACATTAGTAACAAAGTACCTTGACGTGGTAGGGGCTCTTTGAACTTTATAACACATGTTTGCATTTGTAACATCTCAAATTGCAAAAAACACCCTGGCATGAAGAAATGAATACAAAAAAGTCCGCCAAAATTACGCCAAAGTCCCTTCTAACCTATCATTTTACTCAATGCTAAAAAAACAAAGAACCTCTTCCATTTCATCCAAGCTAACATTCTCTCAATCCAGTTGACAAAATGGGATAACCTGGGATATATAGATGATGAGTACAGAGGGTAGAGTGGGTGAGAAATTATAGAATAGAATATAAGAAGTAAAGGGAGATTTCGTTTACAGTATTATGGGGCACATCTAAAATAAGCCTTCTCAAAATGATCTCCATGATATACAAGGCATATTCAATCAGCTACTGTTTACCTAAAAATTCAGGTTATGTTATAAATAGGTAAAAATGAGAAAGAGAACCTTTGCTAGAAATCAAAGTGGAACGAGATTGATATTATCACTTTCGCTTTTGATCTTGTGTGTTGTTAAGAAGATCTAAACATACTTCTATATATCGATGTTTTAATTCGACACTAATTTACATGCATGAAGAAACTTTACATACCAGGACAGTAAAATTCATACTCATACCATTTAAGTCTACAATCTTAGCCTACAAACTTGACTTCAATTCTTCCATCTTTAATCCAATTATGGGGCCATTCACATTTTTACAACAGGCTAAATTCAACACACAAATTATGAGCTTAGCAGTCTGCTCCAAATTAATTTGAAACTGCCTTATATATATGGTCAGAATGTTTCTCTCAAACTTTGATGGAGAGAAGAACCTGGCCTCCTTCACTACATTTCTGGAATGATGTTAATTAGTTAAATTGCTCTTCCACCAAACATAACTGGGTACCGTAAAATGTCAGGAATAAACCTTTTAGTTTTCCAGGTGTTCATTATTTTGTCTCTATGTTTTGAAGAAGTGCTTTTTATGAGACAACAGTGCCTTAAATATCACATTCATACCAGTCTGGCAGTCACCTAATCATGTTAATTAACTGGGTCCTGTCCTGGCCATGGTCTATCAAGAGTTTTTTTTCAGTGTAGGGAATACGACTCGATACATAAAGTGTAACTATACAATTGGTGAATTTCTTTATTCAAATGTCTCAAACTCACTGTATATTATTACACTTAATGTACCGAACCATATTTCTGGCACACTGAAAAAATCTCTCCACCATC